CCCCAAAACCCCAAAACCCCAAAACCCCGAGAGAAGACTTCAGCATTGAAATTTATTTTAATTTCTTCTCTAACTTAGTGAACTTGTCTCTTATCAGTATTTCTCCAGAACATTCATGAGATTTTGGGGTAGGATCGTCTGAACTGGAATTTTCAAGATTTTCTGTTGGTTTAGATCTTTCCGATGGGGGATTGAGGCTGATCGAAATGACCTTGTCAATGTTGCTTTGAGCAAACTCTTTAGACATCTCATTCATCTCAGGGGTTGCTTCTGAAACTGAGATGTCAATATCTAAGCAATGTAAGTCGCAGATAGCTCCAAGTAAGGACTTAAAAGCTGAGTTTACATCTTCAATCTCAGAAGCTCTGATCTTGACAGAGATAGCATTAAGAGCAGTTTGATGTTCCAGAAATGAAATCAGTGAGAGTATCAAATCCTCGTTGCTGATTTCATAACCAATCTTGAGTTTCTTTAAGTTCAAATTCTGAAGAGCTTCAAAGGATATTTCATTGTTCTGCTCTTGGTGGTCACTTCCAGGCTCAAGATCAATAATTTCTATCTCTACTTTTATGCATTTAGGCAGGCTTTGGAGAATTTCGCAGGCATATTCTTTACTGAGATCAATAGGAGACATCTTTATTTGCAAATCTGACAGTTTCTGAATTGAACCTACAGAGAGTATTTTCCTCAGGAATCCAAAATCTCAGCTGAGAGTTTGGATTTCATCTGTAGGAATATAGATCTTTAGGTCTTCTGGTGAGGATTTGTGCTCCTCTAGGTAGTTAAAACTCGCTTTTTCATAGACATTTGCATTAAAAATATTTTCATTTGATCTGAATACAATATAATTATTGTCAATCGTACAGTTATTTGAGACTTCTAAATCGAAATTGGTCATTTTCATAGTCCAGTTGCTGTAGCCAATCAAGCATTTGCCTCCATTTATCTCATACTTCATGGCCTTTCATAAACTTTTACGATATAAAGCTAATCTGATTGGAAATCCTTTATTGCTTAGCACATTTGATAAAATTGGAATTCAATCAAGATCATTTGGCTGCAAGGGCTGCCTCTGATCTTTAAACAAATGCTCACAATAAAGTATGAATTTTGGAACAAAACCTCTCTGATTTTCTTCAGTAATTGTGTGATTATCTAATATTTCTGAGAGCTGGGGAATACAATCTTTATCTCTCATAATATTCTTATGATACAGCCGTATTTTAATGAAAGAGTTTTTAATTTCTTTTGAAAGAGTTTTCATGGTTACAATCTCCAGTAATTTTCTGAATAACTCTATAAGGCTAGGAAGTTCGAGGAAGTTATTTTGAATTTTGCCAATCAAAGCTTGCTTGCTCTGATTATTTGGGAGATTCCAATTATATGAACAAACATAGAGGTTTTTAGTATCATCAGCCAAATTTGTTTTCGAAATTAAAAAAGGTGGCCACTTAAATTTATAGTAAATTGCTTTATCAGCTTTATACTCTTCCACTTTAATCTTAAGAGCTCTAGAAATTGTCAAAAGCCATTCAGAATCAGGAATTGTGCTTATGCCACTAAAAATATATATCATTCCAACTTTTAACAAATCTGAATCCACTATTTGTCAGAAATCAGCAATAGTTTCAAGGCCTGGGAGATCCTCACCATTAGGCCAAAAATCAAAAGAATATAGCTTATAAGCCCCTGAATGTCCCAGTTCCTTCACTTGTGAGTCTCAAGATACTTCATAATCGGAACTTGAAGGGCCTTTAAGATTCTTGACCATTAAACTCCTCTTCTTTATATGGAATACTTCTTCCTCCTGGTCATTAGTGTAAGGCTTGAGCCACTGGTCTTCATTAGAAAGCCAGAGCTGTCTGGACTCCGACCTGAGCTGTGTCATTAGAGTTTTGCATTGGTCTGCATATCCAAAATAAGGAAGAATCTTAATTGCAAGTGAAAGAGTTGCTAATAACGATATACTTCCATCTTTCCTCCTCAAAACAGCCTCTATTTCTCCTAAATCTCCAACTACATTACTTTCCATAACCTATCCCACTCCTAAATAATTTTACAACAATATTTCCCCTTCCCGGGGTTTTGGGGTTTTGGGGTTTTGGGGTTTTGGGG